ATGTATTCAACCCCACTTATGCCTTCTACTACCCCATTGGAAGCCTCGGGACGCTACAACATTTGTGAGTGGAGGTCACTTTGGCGGCTATCCCGTTTCCGCCACAGAAGCTGGCATTCAGAGCCAGGTTATAACCACATTTCTGCCTTTCTGCTTGAATGAAAAAATTCAGCTGAACCTCACACCTCCTGTTTCCAAATGGGAAGTCTGCGGATGTTAGGAAATTTTTACAAACCGGTAAAGGTGGAAGGCATCCTTACCAAGGTTATAAACTCAAGAAGTATATTCCTCGTGGAAGGATGTTTTTAGTAATATTCAAATGTTATTCTAAAGATAAATTTATCGCTTTGCATATAAAATTGTTGCTTTTTTAAAATGATTTTATTCTATTAGATAATTAACCACATTTATAGCGCCTAGATTTTAATAATTTAAAAATCATGTACAGGTCTATAATTAGGCAGAAAACAAAACTAAAACAATGTAAATATTACCGAAAGTCTTTATGCATCTTACAAGCCCATCTTTCGGAATAGCTTGTCAGTACTAATTTTGCGTCCCTTGTTTTATTTTACAGTTATGCAGTAGCGTGACTCCGCGCGGATCGAGTTTTATGACGACCATTCATTCGTGACTGTGGTCTTCCGGCTGGCTCTCTTTGATCTATTTAGCGATATCTGTTATCTTCCAGGTGTAGAGTATGTTCGAAGTTCATGTAAAAACACTTGACGGCGAATCCAAAACCTTCCAAATCGATGACGATGTAACTTAGTGAATTGCACTTTAGGCAAGTTTTATAGGATTTCACAGTAGCCGCCTTCAAGCAAAGGATCACAGAAGAAATGGTGCGTCTTTATTTTACTTAATTTTCCTTAAGAATATCCCAATTGAAAGGCAGCGATTGATCTTTCAAGGAAAGGTTCTTGTCGATGACAGAAAATTGAAAGATTGTGGTAATTTTACTCTCGACCTTATAGTACACTATACGGCCATTTCGTGTAGTATGCCAACCTGTTTTATCTCATAAGTTGAGACTCAAAAGTCATTTTTCTTTATTTATAGGTGTTGCATCGAATACTATTCACTTGGTGCCTAGGCCGCCCCCTCGAACAAATGCTGATGCGACCGCCTCATCTTCAAGCCCGAGTGGCTCTCAGCAGCCTCCACTCAACCCTTCAAATTTCATGAATTTTCGACAAACCATGAACTCTCTTTTTTCAGCTGGACCAAATTTTTCTCCAGCTGGCAAGTATGTTATTTGGGTCTTTCCTTCTCATCTTCTACTATCTTTTCTCTTTTAGCACGACTTCAATGCAACCAGATAGTGGTGGTAATATTAACATTGAAGTTAACGCCTCCTTCGGAGAAATGTGTAACAACCACTTCCAACAGCTCCAACGCCAAACGACGCAGTTGCTGAATGCACTGGATGGTGTCAGTCCATCAGTCTCGGCTATATCAACCCCATCTATCAATGTTGATGATCAAGCTACTGTTCCCGCTGGTGCTTCGGAGAGTGGCCTGTCTACCTCAAGTTCAAGCTCGCATCAAACTTCACCGCTGAACTTTCAGCGCCTCGCGGACATGCTGGCTGAACAGAGACAGCTGTGGCAAAGATTAAGTCCTCATATGGACCGTTGGGAAGCGATGCTGCGAAGTGAGCACGAACTCAGGACGAGGACTTCGGACCCTGGGGGAGGTGCAGTCAATCCATGTGTCGCTGCCCCTGATCATGATGCCACTCTTGGTACCGCTGGTGCTGCTGATGTGGAATTGTCACCGTTACCCACTGACCAGGAGCAAGAGCCTATGGATACTTCCGAAGCCTCCACAAGCATTGACTGGTCGCAGGGGGTGCGCTTTGCCTTCTTTAAGTTTACATCTCTGCTTTGTTCGTATTTGGTAATAGTA